GTTCACGCACTTCAAAATGCCCATCTGGGAGCTGAGCAAGACACCGTCCATCCAGTACCGACAACTATCCCAGGCCCTAGGAAAAGGGAGCGAGAGTCTCTGCCTTCATAATACTTAGAGTTTTATCTGGGACGTGAGTTCGCAGATTACCTTTCTATGTTTCTGTTTTCTCATCTAAAAAATGGGGATAACAGTAGCACCTGTCTCCTGGGGTTGCTTTGAGGACTGAGTCAGTTAACATACATAAAATGCTTCAAACTGTGCCACTGCGTTAGCTAAACTAGATATTTATGGATTGAATGGATATGAGATGGGTACTATTGTCCCATTTTATATTATGAGGAAACCAGAGCACAGATCAAGGGACATGCCCAGTCCTGGCAGCAGGCCTCGACTTCCCACCAGGCATTCCTGAGCACCATGCTCTGCCATCTCTGATATTTCTGACACATATGATGAAGCCAAAAATCTGGAGTTGCACTCAAATCCTCTTTTTCTCTTCTATCCCACATCTGATCTGTGAGCAAATCCTGTGAGTCACACCTGCAAAGTATATTCAGAACCAAAGACTTCTCTACTGGCCCACCTGCATTATAGCGACAGCTTCCTGAACAGTCTCCCTCTTCCTGCCTTGCCTGTTCCTCACTGTTTTCTCCACTCAGTAGAGCATTTGGAAATGGTTCTGTCACACTCAGAGGGAAGCTAGGCCATGCCAGTCTGCTAGATTCCCGACTGCGGTTCCAATCTTACTCAGTGGCCACTATCAAGACCCCAGTTTTTAAAATTTTATGGTTTATTGAATTGTAATTGATTATACATATTTTGAGGGTTCAACAGTGACGTATGTTGATCAAATCAATATTATTAGTATATATATATTATTATAAATCGTACTTATTCTTAGGACTTCAGTTTTAAAGGACCTACTAGATCTGATGCCCTCCCCACCTCTTGCCCCATCAGCCTCACCTATGTCCTCCACCTCCCTTGTTTGCTTTGTGACAACCTCATTGGTGTCCTCTGAGCCTCAGGTACACCAGAGCCTCTGTACGTGGTCAAACGGCACCTTATCAGCAAGGTCTTCATTGCATGTAATATTGCACCATCCCCCAGTGCTCACTGTCCCCTCACTTCTTTACTGTGCCCACCACAGTCATCACCATCTAACATCCTTCACATTTTGTCGATCGTCCTCCCTCCCATCCCCATCAGGTGTACAGTATCTTGTCAGTTTTGTCCTCTGATGTACAATGATACCTAGAATACTGCTGGAACCTGATAGGTGCTCAGATGCTATTGAATGAATGAATGGCTAATGTTTTACAAGCACCTCAAAGAAAAGTTCAACTGTACCTGCATTTAAAAAGGCAGATTAAAATGATTAAACATTTTAGAAAGTTTTTCAGGTACAATGAAACAAGGCCTGTTTAACAGAATACCTCATTGCCCAAGGATTGCATTTATCAAGTTTATAATTTTACCTAGCTCAAACCATATGTGTTCTAAAATAATTGGAAAGATATCTTGTGTTCATGGATTTGAAGACCTAATATTGTTAGGATGACAGTACTCCCTCAAGCAAACCACAGATCCAGTGCTATCAAAATCAAAATCCCAGCTGGCTTTTTTGCAAAAATTGACAAGGTGATTCAAAAATTCATATGAAACTGCAAGAGACTATAAATAGCCAAAACAATTCTGAAAAAGAACAAGAAAGTTGGAGGACTTTCACTTCCTGATTTCAAAACTTACTACAAACTACAGTAATTAAAAGTGTGGTTAAAGAATGAGGATAGACATACAGATCAATGGAAAAGACATGAGTCCAGAAATAAACCCACATACCTATGGTTTACTGATTTTCAACAAGGGTTTCAAGACCAATGAGAAAAAAACAGTCTCTTCAACAGACGGTGCTGGGAAAACTCAAAATCTGTATGTAAAGTAATGAAGTTAGACCCCTAACTCACACCATGTACAAAATTAACTCAAAATGTATCAAATACCTAAATTTAAGAGCTCCAACTATTAAACTCTTAGAAGAAAACATAAGGACAAATCTTCATAATCTTGGATTTGGAAGCGGATTCTTACATATGATACCAACAGCACAAGTAACAAAAGAAAAACATAAATTGGACTTCATCAAAATAAAAAACTTGTTTACAAAGGACACTATTAAGAAAATGAAAAGAGGGCTGGCTGGTTGCTTAGTTGGTTAGACCTTGGTGTTATAACACCAAGGTCAAGGATTCAGATCTGTGAACTGGCCAGCTGCCAATAAATAAATAAATAAGTAAGTAAGAAAGTGAAAAGACAACCAGCAGAATGGCAGAAAAAACTGTAAATCATAGATCCGATAAAGGTCTAGTATCCAGAATATATAAAGAACTCTTATAAATCAACAACAAAAACACAAACAACCCAGTTTAAAAATGGGCAAAGTAGTCATGCATAGCTTGATGGGGACAGATTCTGAGAAATGCATCGTTAGATCATTTCATTGTTGTGTGTACACCACAGAGTGTATGTACACAAACCTAGATGGTATAACCTACTACACACCTACACACAAAAACACAAACAACCCAGTTTAAAAATGGGCAAAGTAGTCATGCATAGCTTGATGGGGATAGATTCTGAGAAATGCATGGTTAGATCATTTCATTGTTGTGTGTACACCACAGAGTGTATGTACACAAACCTAGATGGTATAACCTACTACACACCTACAGTACATGGTATAGCCTATTGCTCCAACAACTGTTGTATGCCACCTGTCAATGACCAAAATACTGTCATACAGTGCATGACTATACTTGAATAGAAATTTCTCCAAAAAACATACACAAATTGTCAACCAGCACATGAAAAGATGTTCAAAATTATTAGTTATTACGGAAATGCAAATCAAAACCACAATGAGATACCACCTCACACCCACTAGGTTGGCTATCATCAAAAAAAACAAAAAACATACACAAATTGTCAACCAGCACATGAAAAGATGTTCAAAATTATTAGTTATTACAGAAATGCAAATCAAAACCACAATGAGATACCACCTCACACCCACTAGGTTGGCTATCATCAAAAAAAACCCTGAAAATAAGTGTTGTCGAGGATGTGGAGAAACTGGAACCTTCATGCATTGCTGGTGGGCATGTAAAATGGTGCAACTGCTGAGAAAAACAGTTTGGTGGTTCCTCAATAAGTTAATCATAGTTTCCATATGACCCAGCAATTCTACTCCTAAGTACATACCCAAAAGAAAAGAAGGTGTTCAAACAAAAACTTGTATACAAATGATGATAGCATTACTATTCACAATAACCAAAAGGTAAAAACTTAAATGTCCGTTAACTTATGGATAAAGAAAGTATGGGCTATCCATACAACAGAATATTATTCAGCCAAAAAAAAAGGAAGGAAATTTTGACATATGCTACAACATTGATGAACCTTGAGAACATTATGCTAAGTAAAATAAGACAGACATAAAAAGCCACGTTTTATGATTCCATTTATGCAAACTTTCCACAGAGACAGAAAGTAGTTGCCAAGGGTAGAGAGAGGGAGGAATGGAGAAGAACTACTTAATGGGTATGGGTTTCCTTTTGGGGTGATGAAAATGTCCTGGAAGTTCAGAATAGTGATGGTTGCACAACATTGTATACGTGTACTAAAAGCCGCTTGATTGTAAAAAGGGATAAACGGTGAATCTTAAGTTAACTGAATTTTACCTCAATAAAGAAAAAAGAAAAAACAGAAATAATGAACACTGTCCATCCCGACCAATAGTATGCTGTTCTTAGACTCCAGGAAAGTGGAGTACTAAAACAATGAAACACCCAGAAAAATGTGAACATGCCTCAATCCCACTGCACTACTTCTCCTTTCCCCCTAAAACAGTAACCTGCCTTCAGTGAATGCTATCTTCAGCTTGAGAATTCCTGAGCTGGAGCTGTACAACCCAAGAATTCCCAAGCTCTTACTTCCTGTTTTAAAGACCTTAGAAGTATACAGTTGTCCACTCCAGCCAGCACCCAGCCATGATGTTTACATGTTGTAAATAAATATGCCTTGCAAGAGACCAGCACTTCCCCGGCCATGAGCTGTAGTAACTGCCCACCTCCATCGTGCCTGACAGCCATCTGCACAGCTGACAGCTGCTTTCTGGCCGCCAGGCCTGGACTGCTGCCCAGGCAGTGCACTGGGTCAGCCTGCTCACATTCTTCACTCACCCCCAGTCCTTGGAGGGGTAAATGGAGAAATTCTTTCTTTTCAGTGAGGTTTGTTAGAGTCCCCTGGTATGTCTGACCCAAGAAGTGGAGATGTGCAGAGTAGAATTGGGCATCTCTCAACTCCCACCTGGCACTTGGGCTCCAAACTCAGATCCTGGCCAGATGGCAGCAGAGCCAGGCAGCCCCTTGAAGCATAGATGCCTTCTACCTACACACCACAGTGGTCATCCTCCTGGGCAGGATGGGAGAATACAGTGGTCCCATCTACAGAGAACAAGGTCAAGCCTAGATTTGACCGGTTTTGGTCTTCCTAGACCTCACCCCTCATCCAAACACATACATATAGGCATGCACAAACACACATGCACACACACAAGTTTTGGACAGATTTCAATATTTCATCCTTTATTCTTGTAGGAGTTACCAGTCAGTAGTAAAAGGGTTAAAAAGGAGACCATAAGGAAAACAAAGCAGTAAAAAATCCTAAGTACATAAGAACAATGTCTGAATAACTGACCTGACAATTTTAAATTTTATCTTGTCTAGACATAAATATTGTTTAAAAAATACTGTTCTACTTTATCAGCACTATACACTGATAGGTTAACAGTGGGTAACTCTAAGTGACAGAATTATGGATGGTTTTTCTTTTTTGTGTTTTCTAATTGTTATAATCATCATGAATTCCTTGCAATAATAAAAAGACAAGTGTGTCCCCCATCTCCATGTAATCCAAATAGTATACACCCCACATACCTTGTTGAGCTTGCCAAGAGAAGATATGAGATCTGCCCATTCACTTGAGGACTCAAAATTTCTTAAAGCCTTTTCAATCACTGAAGAGTAATTTCTGTATCTGTAATCATTTAATAGCTCCTGCTCTTCTGGATCCATCTTACATTCTCACAATGGACAAAGTATCTACAAGGGAATCAAAAAATAAATGAGGGAGCTATTCAAGGACACAAATCATTCCCAACCTGGAGCTACAGAAGACGTGTGTCCACAAACACTACTGCATACAAATGCACTTGGCAATCCAATTCAAATATTTAGCAAGGCTTCTGGGCCAGGCACCATGGCAGATAAAAGACAAACAGTTCTGGCCCTCATGGATCCTGAGGGAAACAAATGCACAGGAACAGAAAGAAGCAAGAATGCTAGGACTCCACTTAATTCACAAAACTAATTCTAGGGATGAAACTTGCAAAGTGCCTGAACTACATATTGTTACCAGTTGGTAATTCTGAATGCAGATGGCCCCTCCTATCATAGGGCATTTATAAAACCCAGGGAAAAGCTCTTAACTTGAACAGTCTAATATTCAGCAATTCAATCTTCTACAATTATACAAGAAGATCAGAAATACTCTATAAGAAAATCAGGTGACCATCTGCACCGTCTACTCCCAACTCCAACAGCAACCATTTCCTTTTCTTTTGTTTTTGTCCCCAATGTAACAAAAGGGAATAAAGAATGAAATTCTGGTCTGGTTGGTTAGCTCAGTTGGTTAGGGTGTGGTGCTGATAACACCAAGGTCCAGGGTTCAGTCCCTATAACCGCCAGTCCATACTCTCCAAAAGAAAGAATGATATGCCGCATTGATTTGACTTTTTGAAAACATCCATCATGTATACATTATAATGTATACAAATAAAAATGCATGCTTAAGTTTTGTTTTTATTCCTCCATTAAAAAAAAAAATCTGAAGGTCAACCCATCAGTCCATTCAAATAAGTCACAACTCTGAAAGACACTTCACAAGATAAGGAAATATCAAGCCATTCCTTTGATCTGTCACCAAGTTCTATATTTTAGCATTTTCTCAAAAGGAATGCTTTAGGGTTCTTATTTGCTCCTCTTCTGTAGTCTTCATCTGATTAAGTTATATTTAAAGTGTGGCAGGAACCTACCAAAAATTCCTTGTTCCCCTTTTCCACACTAAGGGAACCCTAATGTTGTTCAGGGCAGCATTATGGTTCCCAGTCTCCCTTGCAGCTAGGTGGCCATGTGACAGGTCTAGTCAACGAGATGGCAGAAGCTGCTGGGTTAGGAAAGCTATTTGAAAGGAGGCAGACTTCTCTGACATGAGCCTTCTGCCCTTTGCTCTCCTTCCTTCTGCCTGGAACAGAGGTTTCATGTTGGAGTGAAGCCACACCTTGCAACCTTGACAAAACATGCAAAAAAGTCACACACTTAGGATGGCTGAGTGGATGGACAGACAGAGCAGCAGAGGCCCCAGATGACATTATGAAGGTACCACATCCCAGCCCCAGATGCTGTACATCTGGACTATGTTTTCTGCACATAACAGCTAATCTATTTAAGCCACTGTTTGATCAGGTTTTCTGCTATAGCCAAACACAATCCTGACTGATATCTGAGAGTACTTCAGAAAGTTTATAGGAAGATTCATACTATCTTTCAATTCTATATTTCCACGAACTCTCTGAAGTACCCTCATATGAGACTAAATAATATTTTGCTAGTGTTGCTCATAGCCTGAAAGGAGAGAAAAATATGGAGCAACACGATATGATTAAATATGACTGAGCATGGTCAGTTGTTTAGTTTGCTAACCGAGTTGCATGTAGTCAATCAAATAAAAGGACCATTATGGTAGATAGAAGATACAAAACTGCAGGTACAACATGTTCTTTAAGCCTGAAGCTTTCATTTACTGGCCACGGTGAAGTTGCAAGAATCCCATGAAATCTCCTGCTCTTTCTGATCAGTGATCAGACTTTCAGATCACTCCAGACCCACTCCAACTTTCTCAAGGCCACCATGACTTCTGAGTCACCAATGCCCGTGGTCCCTTCTGTTTCCTCACTTGACCCCTTGGTGGGACTGTGCAGCAGAACACTTTCTCCTCAAAATGGCCTCCTCTCAGCCCACACTTGCCTCTGGCCCCACTGGCCCCTGGCTCATTGCCTACCTACATCTCTGTGCTTCTTTCGTCCTCCTGTACCCGAATGCCAAATGTTGCATGCCCTGGCATCAAGGCTTAGGACCTCTTTCTCTCTTTGTCCTTGGTGATTTCCCCATTCCTATAACTTAAACACCATCTTCATACCAATGACTCACAGATTAATAATGCCCTCCCAAACCTTCCACTCCAAGGTTCAGGTTCACAGAAGTACCCACTGGTTGTGGTACAGGAGTCTCAAACTTAGTGCATCCAAAATAAGACTCTCTAGCGCTGTTTGTTTGTGTCCCGTTAAATTGATACTGAAATCCTAAGTCCCAAGGTGATGATACTACAAGGTGTGCCTTTGGGAGGCACTGCCCTCATGAATAGGATTCTGTCCTTATTAGATCTAAAGGAGCTTGGTTGTTCTTTCCACCATGTGAGGACACAGTGGGAAAGTGGCATCTATGAACCAGACAGCACACCCCCACCAGACACCAAATCTGCCAGCATCTTGATCTTGAACTTCCCAGCCTCCAGAACTGTGAGAAATAAATTTCTGCTACTTATAAGCTACCCAGTTTATAGTATTTTGTTACAGCAGCCTGAGTGAACTACCATAAACATCCATCAACAAAATGTGATGTATCCATACAATAAGACACTATTAGGCAAAGAAAAGGAACAAAGTACAGATACATGCTACAACATGGATGAACCCTGAAAACATATGCTTAATGGGAAAAGCCAACCACACCAGACCATACACTGTATGATCCCAATGCCCAGAGTAAGCAAATCTATAGATATAGCTAGTGGGTCAGTGGTGGCCTCGGGTGGGGTGGAAACAGGGAGTAACTGCCAGTGGGCACAGGGCATCTTTTTTGAGGTAAAGGAAATGTGCTGAAATTGGTTTATGGTGATGGCTGCACAACTCTGTAAATTTACTAAAAAGCACTGAATTATGTACTTGAATGAATTTTATGGTCTGTAAATTATACCTCAACAAAACTGTTTGAGAAAATAAAACTAAACCCTCAATTCCGTGTGCTCAACATTCCCCTAGTCCAGTCATCTCCTTCTCAGAAAGTGGTCCCTCCTTAGAGGACCATTTGTCATCGTGGACTCTTCCTTCTCTTCACCTGCCACATTCAACCCAAGTCCTATTGGTTCTTTCTCCAAAACACCTGCTGACTCGATGGCTCACCATCTTGCCTGCAACGCTGTTCAAGCCGCCTGTCCCCTGCAAGTTTGCAGAGGCTTCCCAATGGTTCTCTCTCATTCTTGTCCCTCTCCAATGTGTTTTCACACAGCACTCCAAAAATCCTCTTAAAACATAAAGCATATCACTGCCATGTTTAAAACTCTTCCCATTAAGCTTACAATAAATCCAACAACTCCTTCCCCGGCCTACAAGACCCCACCTACTTCTCTCCTCACCACATTCTGCATGTCCCAAGATAGGCTCATCCTACCATAGAGCCGTTGTACATGCTGTGCCTCTCTGCAAAAATATAGCATACTGTGTCTAGGCACCCACAAAATAAGACTGCCTACTCATTCTTGGGAAGGCCCGTCCCTTTTTCTGAAGTGACAGCCTTCACATTTTCTGAAAATGTTAAGAAAAGTATGGTGATGAGAGGTGGTAGTTTATTCTGAGAAGTAAAGACTAAGAATTAGTTGGTACATCCAAATAGTCCATAACTTTTTTTTTTTCAGGAAATATATAGGTCTGAAATCCAGGTCTCTGAAGCACTGCAATACTCCACGCAGTCTGTTCACTCTGTTAAGTGTCTAAGCACTGGGGAAAGAAACATAACACAGGATTCCTACTCTCATAATCCATAGCCTAATAAAAAAAGGAAATATCTAAATACTGTACATAATTTCAATTTAATGTGGCACACACAGTGACAGAGGGTGGTATGAAGTAACAAAGTCTGACGCTGGCAAGTGGAAAGGAAAGAGGAAGAGTCCAGCCGAAGAGTCCTCAAAGTCCACAGGTGTGGGTGGCTTGAGTTAAACGGGAACAGAGCTGCGTCAGTAATAAGGTGTGTGTTTAGGGGGTGGAGGCGCAGAGGTGTACAGTGCTCATGGCAAGGAGAGTGTCAGCCAGGTAAGAGCAGCTAACTACAGCAGTTCAATGTGGACTATATGAAGAAAGTAGTGTTTGGTGTAACAGCACAGGTGTGAAGTTTGGAAAAGGTCATTCAAGTAAGCTCCTTTATTTCAAAATATAAGGCATTTGATATTATGATACTACACAAGTCTTCTGGGTGAGCTTGCTAAATCCATTATTTATGCATGCATTTATCTCATGCAACACACAAGAGTCCTATGAATGGGTATTATCAGCTCCAAGTTGAAGACATTGGAAATCTGGCCATTCAGAAAAATGCCGGGATCACACAGCAAGCAGCTGGCAGAAACTGAGATGCCACAGGGCCTCCACTACTTTATGCTAGTGGTAAAATTAATAGTTCAGCCCTTAAATAGCTCTTTTGCCAATGATCTTGTAATCTAACTTGGATATCTTTTCCGTGAGAGATTCAATATTTCAGTAAAACTTATAGAGTTATATAGTCTACAATTAGGTCCACTAACTACATACATCCACTTTAAAACTGAAAATTTCAGCAGGAAATCTCTCACCTTACACATTCTTAATTTCTTACAAAAACAAGTTCAAGTGAAAAACCAACTGCCAGATCCCAAAGAAATTTTGTAAATATGTTTACATGAAGGAATGTTTCTAAGTTAGGTGAAAATGAGGACAGAGTGAAAAACGACAAATAGCCGTCCTCCCATGAGCGAGAGTATTTACCAATAGCTAATGACCCTTAGTCTACAGCTCAGAAACACCCGTTTGGCTTAATCGATGCTAAGACACATTATTTCAGATATGGCCTTTCAAATACCGGGAAAAAAAACTTAAGATACCTAACAGGAGCAGACGTTGAGCGGGAGGAGGGGGGACCCTCCATCACCTTCCCCAAAAAATCCTACACACGTCTTCCCAAGTGTGGGGCTGCTGTCCCAAGGTGGGGCAACACCGGCGGGTGAGTCTCCGTCAGCAGCCGTGCTTCGAGGAGCTACAGGGAGACCCAAGCTGACGGCAGCCGTGAATCCTGCAAGACGCAGGGGCCAGGCCGGCACAGCGCGCGCACTGCGGCTCTGATCCCTTCTCCTGGGGACAGTCTGGAAGACTTGGAGGTCTTCCCTTAACAAGAAAGCCCTCGGTTTCTTAAAGGTCTACGTCCCCTGCCTGCTACCCAACCAGGACCGCACCAACCAACAAAGGCTGAGCTTCCCTGCCACCGGCCGGCCGTGACCCATCTGACCTCCACCTACCTGACCCCAGGCCCGCCCGGCTCGGTGAGGGCGTGGCCGCACATCCCGCGCCGCGAGGAGCCGGGGAACACCGAGGGAACCCCACCCAGCCTTCTGGGCTGCCCCAGGGGAGGTCTCAGGCCGGAGACGCAGGCCTACGCGCGGACCCGGCAGGGTCTTCCCCGCACTGCAGCAGCGCGCCGGGGAACCACCTGCACCCCGGAACCGCCCCCACGCACTCGGGGAAGGACGCCCGCGCCGCCTCGTAGCTCGCGGGCCCGCAGGGAGGAGACGCCCGGCTTCCCCGGCTTCACCCAGCGGCCGACGGTGTGGACGTCAGGCAGGGCTCGAGCACGGCTTACCTGCGGCGGCGGCCCTTGTCGGCGGGTGCGCCCACGTGTAGCGCGGAAGAGGCAGCAGGGCTGAGGAAGAGGCAGCAGGCGACGGCTGCGGCGCGGGTGGGAGCCGAGACCGCTGAGAAAGCGCCGCGCCCGAGCCCGAGCGGCCGCGGCTCCGGGAGGCGGGACCTCAGTTCTAGGGGCGGGGCCTCGGCGGTCGGGCAGGGACTAGGAGGCCGGTCCTTGACGCACGAAGGCGGGATCAAAATTGGTTGCTCGGAGCATGGGGGCGGGGCCGGGAGGTGGACCATCGGTGCGGAAGCAGGGCCGAGGGCGGATCCTCGATGAAAGGGGCGTGGTCGAGGGCAGGGCCTCAGCCTGAGGGGCAGGGCTTAGGGCGAATCCTCGGCGCGTGGGGGCGGGTCCTCGGCGGGAGGGGCGTGTTCTGTCGTCGCCTGAGTCAAGTCTGGGAGCCTGTACTTCCTCTGCTTCCTGCGGTGGGCGTCGCCTCGGAAACGCCTAACAGGTGGGCGGGGTGGCGTCAGCCCCTCACCTGCGGCTCCTCCTACACACCTGAAAGGAAGGGGACATCGTCGGTACCTGGTCAAGGTCGTCCTTCAGAGATTCGGCCCTCGGAGGTGCTTTGCAGTTGCAGACAAGGAGAATCGCGGGGCTCCAGGAAGGTGTGTGGCACCTGGCTCTCTCCATCCCTTCCATTGGGACCACACCCAACCCCATTCCCTCGGGGAGGAGGCAGAAGGAATCCTTTCATTCATGCTCCGGGCGGAGAAAGCTTGGGAACCCTCGTTAAGGTCGCCCCACCCCCACAGGCCTCCTCTTTCAGACCCTCTTCTGGAATGAGCTCCTCATGTGGGCTCTGGTTGAGGAAGGAGAACTTCATGTCAACTCTAGAGAACGTTAATATTTACAGGCAAGCCCTAACCCCTTCCTGTCATCCCCACAAGCCTTAGGACCCGAACGGCCCAAGACCCACGCAGCCTGGCCGTCAGCTGCAAGGCAAGACACACCCTGAGGCCTTGCGAGTCAGGCAGAGCTCACCGGAGCACTGGCCCTATCTTCCCAACCAATCCAAATAGTGCCACCTGTTGATTATTTTTTGTAGTGCCATCTCCGCCTTTAACCCCTGAGGGTCCTCGAGGAATTTTCGACTAGATCAGACTAGATCAGTCTGGGGTTCGTGAAGCGTAAGCAGGCTATGAATGAGCTTGGAAAGTGTGTAGAACACTTTGTGTATATGGGCGTTTCTGGGGAAAAGGTATATGGTTTGAATATGCTTACAAGAAATCTGTTTTCTTGGGTCAAATTGTCACAGTTAAAAGTCTATTTAGCTATGATCTTCTGTTGAGGACATGTAAAAAGAGCAGGTTCCTTACATGATAGTACTCTAATCAAGGCATTTCAGATTTATTTTAAATATGAACTTTGATCTTTACCCCTCTTGTGTTAAATAAAATTATAGGAAACCATTATTTTGGACTAAACTCCTGCCCAACAGACTAGATTAAACATCAAAATGGAGTCACCCGTGCTAAAGTTCCACATCATCAAATCCAAACTAAATTGTTAAATGAACCTGGGAGAAATTGGGAGAAAGATAACAGCTAACTTCCCAAATAGGCAAGTTTAAATCTTCAATTGGCATGATAATGAAGTTCCCTCTGCTTCCATCTTAACACAAAAGAAGGAACCTGAAGTAACTTGGTGTTAACTAATCAGTTATTTTTCTGTTCTGATTTCCTGTCCCTGCCTTACAAGAAAAGTAGCTTCGAAAGGACTAATACAAACTTCGTTCTTTGCTTGGTGTTAACTAATCAGTTATTTTTCTGTTCTGATTTCCTGTCCCTGCCTTACAAGAAAAATAAGTAAGGACTAATACAAACTTCTGCTTTCTTCAGCCCTTCTCTGTCTAGGAGGGGTCTTCAGAAAGTTCATGAAAAGATCTGCATTATGCTTTAATTCCATGTTTCCATGAACTTTTTGAAGTACCCTCATATTAAGCCAACCCCTTTTACTTAGCATGTTGGAACACTTATTCTATTTTATGGGATGAAGTGTTGCCCGATTCTAGAATCACAATAAAGCTGATCGAGATATTTAGACTAAATGTGTGGTCATTTTGTCCTCTGTAAATCTGAGCCGACTATATTCTCTGCCTCAGATTGACAAAGTAAACACATTCTGAGTTAGGTTATGTAGATATTGACAATCCTGTGAGCCTCTTTCTTCTATGAACTAAATTCTACTCCTCTCAACCGTAGCCATGGGTTCCCTGTCAGCTTCCACCTCCTCCCTAGTGGCATACATTCCCTTACACCTCCCTTGCTCCCCTTAGTGAAGTCACATTGCAGTTCCTGTATTTGATGCTGTGCCCATTTTGCCTTTGACTTGCAGTAACGAGGAGACCTTTGTCATGCTTACCATTATCACCTGTTTCATCTCCACACTGAATCACTGTATGGATTCTTGGTCTGTCACAATTCTTGTCGCAGTTCAGTAGGTGAAAGAAAAATCAAAGAGCCGGGTCTAAAGCTGATATTGTACGAATATGTGCATTTACCACACATTCATCAACCTAGAAAAATGTATCACAGAAAAGCTGTTGTGGAAAAGACCCTGGCTCCATCTCGTGCCTAAGAAACATACATTATGGGATTGTCTGTTTAAACATGCAGCATTTAAAACATATTCCATTTCTGTATGGAAAAGTTCACACAGAAGCTAATTTGGCGATCTAATAACCATATGGCTCATAAATTAGGGCTAGCCAGTAGCTCACTTGGGAAAACATGATGCTGGTAACACCAAGCTTGATGGTTCAGATCCCTTTACTGGCCAGCAGCCAAAAAAACACAAAAAACAAAAACAAAAAAATCACTTAAATTGTATGTGTTATCTCCCTTAATTTTTACACAAAGAGAGTTACCCATGGTCTCTAGACTCAGCAGTGAAGCTGGGCATGCCAAGGACTAGGCACCAAGGACCTCTGCAGTCAGACAGTCCTGGATATGATCCTGGCCTGTGACTCTTAGCTGTGTGATTTTGGGCAAGTTAATCAACCTCTCTTTATTTAAGCCTATATTTCTTCATCTGAAAAATGCCCATCCTTTAAAAAGTAGTCTGTTAATGTTGAAAATACAGAGATTAATGAACACAAACTTATGGTCTCTGCCTTTAAAAAAAAAAAACAGAAAAAAGAAAAAATGACATTGATACTTACCTTAAAGGATGCTATAGTTTGAATGTGTGTCCCCCAAAGTTCATGTGTTAGTAACTTAATCCCTAGTACAACAGTGTTGAGGTGAGATCTTTAAAAGCCCTTATGAATGGATTAATGCCCTTTTCTTGGGAGTGAGTTCCTGATAAAGGGATGGTTCATTCTCTTCCATTCTCCTGAGCTCTCTTGCCCTTCCATCTTCCACCATGGGATGACACAGCAAGAAGGCCCTTTAAAAGCCCTTATGAATGGATTAATGCCCTTTTCTTGGGAGTGAGTTCCTGATAAAGGGATGAGGTCATTCTCTTCCATTCTCCTGAGCTCTCTTGCCCTTCTATCTTCCACCATGGGATGACACAGCAAGAAGGCCCTCACCAGATGCTGGAACCATTCTCTTGGACTTCCCAGTTTCTGGAACTGTGAGAAAAAAATTTTCTTTATAAATTAGCCTGTCTGTGGAATTCTATTTATACCAGCACAAAACAGAATAAGGCAAAGGACTGTTGAGAATATTATGTAAAACCATGCTGGGTATTAAGTATGACATATGGCCTAGTATGCCACGAGTTTTCAATTCATGATTTTTTTTTTTTTTTTGCCTTTTGATTCCAAGCCTAAATATTATTTCTTTACCTCTATACCATACCACGGAACATTTTAATGCATTTCTATTGGTTAGGCTCCCTTTGATTGCAAGCAACAGCCATCCAATTCAACCTAGCTCAAAAAAAATTTATTTTAAGGATACAAGAGTGTCTTGGAGCATCTCTTACAACCCAGGATTTCAGGAATGAGCTGAGGCCAGGGAAGAGATGCTTCTGTGGGGAGGGGAGCTTCTCTTTGGCCCCTCTAAATGCTCCTCTTGAGGGTTGGCCTCCTTATTCTCTGGCTACACTTGGCTCCCTCTACTCCTTAGATCACATGGGTTGGGGCATGGCCACTCACATGACAGCTCTGATCCAGTCCAGCTGGCCCTGCTTTTCAGAGGAAGGGCCTACAGCTGGAGCAGTCAACAGAGGCTAGCAGGGCAAAGTCCCCTTGTGGCTGCTGCACCTATAAACATGAGGAGGAAGCAGAGAGGAGGGCAGGAGATAAGTATTTTGGAAGAGGGTGCTGGGCAAACCATCCAATAAGAGCCTACCGCAGCCCTTCTCATAAGAATGAGAAACATCAGGCCTGCTGGTGAGCTCCGTTGGTTAGAGCGTGGTGCTGATAACACCAAGGTCCAGGGTTTGTTCCCTGTACTGGCCAGCCAACAAAAGAAAAAGAAGGAGAATCATTGTTCAGACCAGCGGTTAACAATGAAGGGTCTTCTATGTGGGTTATGCGCTTATCCAAAGCTGTCAGGGTGGATTGGCTAGACACAAAAGAGGGAAGAGAATAAAAAGGACTGGGCTGTTCACTTATACATTTCCTGTCTGCGACCTCCTTGGCAAGGGCTGCAGACCTCTGTGGTTCCCCTGCTGCTGCCCGTCATCAGCAGGTCTCGAGGCTGGCTGCAGAGGGAGACTGGAGTGTGAAAGATATTCAGGAAACATATCAAAAGCCATGAAAATGTTTTTAGAGCTGGACAAGAAGCCATTAAAATATCTTATGAGCTATGGCCTGAGATGAGTATAAGAAAGAGCATGTTGGATTTAATCAGTGACACAGAAATGGGCTGGAGGAAGTTAAATGCAGCCTGGGTGGGATTGAGACTTCCCTCTACCCCAAGTGGATGAAAAAGTCAGGAGAGGGTTGTGATTGTTAAATTGACACTTTGAGGTGCTGCTATTGTAAATCAGAGTCAAGAACAAATACCTGTACCCTGTGATAAACCAGAAAAAACTGAGATTAGTCCCAGTCCCCCAAATAAATGAAATCTTGAGCATTTCCATACTTTAC